TCCTTCGCTCCAATGATGGGTCGGCGTAATTCTGAGAATAATGACAGGCGCACAGAACAGTTTAGAAAGCTTTTCATCGGTGGACTGACTCCGCAAACAACGGAAACAATGCTGAAGGATTTTTATTCACAATGGGGGGAGATTGTCGATGTTGTCGTTATGAAGGACAGCGCTTCTCACAGGTCTCGCGGGTTCGGATTCATAACTTACAAGGAGCCGGAGATGGTTGACACTGCTCAATCCAACCGACCGCACGAAATTGATGGTAAAATCGTGGAAGCAAAGCGTGCAATGCCGCGTGAGGATTCACAAACGCCGGAATCTCACATGACCGTTAAGAAGCTATTTGTTGGTGCCCTAAAAAAGGATGTCACTCAAGAAGACCTTCGCGATTACTTCAGCAAATACGGTAATATCGTGGAGTGCGAGATTGTAACATGGAAGGAGACTGGAGAGTCCCGGGGATTTGGATTTGTGACGTTCGATGACTACGACCCGGTCGACAAAGCTATCTTATACAAGCCACACCATATTGGCAATAGCCGGGCGGATGTGAAGAAGGCACTAAGTAAGGAGCAAATCAACGAAACGAAAAGAAAACGAGAGTACAGAATGGGAGGTCGGTATGAAGGCGGCAATGGATACGGTCCAGCACCCTATGGATATGACCAGGGTTACGGCGGTTACGGTAAGAGGACATTAAATTTACTTACTTTTGCTTAGGTTCTCCTGGTGGCTATGGACCCAGTGGATATGGCCATGGTGGAAGTGGATATAGTGGTATGGCGTATGGTGGAGGTTGGGGCAGTCAGCACAATGGTGGTTGGGGCCAGGGAGGTATGGGTGACGGTTTTGGTCAATACGGGAGTCAACAAAGTCACGTTGGTGGTCCTATGCGCTCGGGTCCTCCGGGTGGTGGATATCCACGAAGTGCGCCCTACGGAGGTGGGTTATTGAGTTTGCTAAACTTCATCTGATTGCTTTTGTAGGTGGTTACGCGAGACGCTAAAGTCGAGGTAGGTTGTTTTCACGTCCCGCATTGGTCTCGCTAATCACCTTTCGTTCATTGCAGGAATAGATTGGCCTCGTCAGTTTGGTCTAGGCAAGGCCGATAGCCGTGAGAAACCTAGCGCCCTCAGGTACTAGGCCAGCCAGAAGTCCGTAGCTGAAGAGGCCAGGGATCCAGTTTCACAATTTGTATATACTGCATGTATATACTGTTAAATGTCCAATGACTGCTGCATGTGCAATCAGGCTCTGTTTCCCAATTGTGCTTAACCTTGAGTGAGAATGCGTTCCATAGCGTGTCTGCAGCATTGCTGAGAAGCCGTGCAGCTACGTATTTTTATCTCAGCCATGTGACTAGCATTGAAGGAAATAAAAGTGTTCAAGCCGTACGTTGTTTTCAGTTGCAAGTACAGGGTAGGTGCTGCGAACGCAACCGTCAGTCTTTTCCGATACCTCTGGGTTATTCTGATACTACTAGCTTGGAATTGTCCTGTTTTATTCGACGGTTCTAATTATGTTCACTACAAGTTGCGGGTGGCGACCAGCTGATCTTGAGTTTCCATCTATCGGGACCAGTTTCTTTGAATGTTTTGGTTGTCATGAGTGCGTTTCGAGGAGCTCGGCGGGCTTAGTGCGGCAGCAAGGGAATGCCGTTTGCGTCTCTCCATGAGTTAATTGCTTGCAGAACATAGTGAATAACTCGCAGTTGATCGCGTTTGTACGTATTCTAATGAGGCATTGTCTCAGCGAGTTGCCAGCCGTTCCGTATATCACGCATTGGTTAATTTGAAATCGTTCCACTGAAATGCATCGATTTCCTACTTTACTGGGTTAAGTTGGTTATTACGGATCATGGCAGAGGGTGAATTTTTGAGTTGAAACAGTGAACTCAGCGGAGGTTTGTTGCCGCTCCTTGGGTTTGAGATTTCTGCCGTAGTGGTTGATTCTTGGCCACTCACTTAATTCGGCATTGTTGGTGGTAGAGGTGGCATGTAGAGTTTCTTGTTGCGTCACCTTTCGAGATATTCACATTTGCGGAATGGATTGGGGGCTGCTGAGAGTGTTGTTTACTTTTTCCCAAGTTCGCTTAGCTCAATTATGTAACTTGAGGGATCGTAAAGTATGGTAAGGGTATCCGGCGAGTTGCTCATGAGTGTTGATTTGCGTTGATGAATGTATACGCGGAGAGACATTGCGAAAGCAGTGCGCAGTGCTTGTTGCTTACGAGATAATGTAATAGTGAGGAGAAATTCGGTCTTCCGGTGGTTGATTCTTGTACATCTTTTTGGATGCGGCTTCCACCGCGTTTGCCCTCTGGAGTGTACTTTCCACTGACAGTGCGTTTTTCATGTTTTTCCTCATGCGAATTTCCTGTCTTTCCATCGCTTCCTCAGCGAGGCTGTGTTGATGAATTTTGACCGGCACACTGATGGATTGCGTTGGCACAGGATCGATCTGCGATGACGAGTGTGCCACGCAATTGATGTCCATTTTGGGGAGTGGGGTTTGTTGAAAGCTAGGAGTCAGCATTTTTATGCAAACGTTGGTAGATGTGATCGTTATTCGAGTGGGTTGAGTGGTTCTCTTGTTTCACACGAATAGCATCAGTTAGGGATGTTCCCACAGACTGCATTGATCTACAGATTTACGGACTGATTTCTCGAGCGCAACCTGCAAGGCGGTTTTGTGATTAGGTTAGCGGTTCATTGGTCTAGCATCCAGATGCGTCTATTTTGGATTCATAATAGCGGTTTGTAGTTCTCGGGTTATCGTGGTTTTTCAATGGTGGCGTTTGTGACCGTTAATTCAGCTCCATTGTGAGTCGGACATCTGATGAGCCCCATACAACTAGCGATGTGGATCACTCCTTTTCCTGCTCTACATTAATGATCTTCCTGAACGCCTTGGCTCGGCTAGCTATATATTTGTTGACGACGTCAAGGTTGTAGGATCAAATGGGAGAGCGTAACTATGGAGGGACATAGGAAAAGTGCCCAAGCATATATGCTATTTGCCTCAACATAGGGAAAAGCCAAGTCTTGACCATTGGAGGCGAGGGGTTGATAATGGGGCGTGGTAATGGTGGTCTTTCCCTAGGAACGACACAATAAATTAGAGATTCGGGTATCACAGTGACAGCAGACTATAAATGGGCAGAACAGTGTGTCGCAGCGGTGCACTGTGCGCATAGAGAACTTTTTAGAATGAGGTCGGCACTATTATGTAGAAAGCCGGAGATACCCTTACCTCTATACAAGACCATTTTTCGACCCCATTTAGGGGATTAAATAGGAGCATGGGCTTCCTTCTTCAAAACGGACGCCGCTTGTCTCGAGGGTGTCTGACGATTAACCACAAGGATGACTGGAGGACAACGAAGGAAGCCGTATAAGCAAAGACTGCGGGACCTCGGACTCTTCTCTTTGGAAAGAAAACTCCGGGGACGGATAAGACAGTGTTCTTCGAGAGAATTAAAAGCAATTCTAGGGGCTAAGTACAAGCTGAACTGTTGCCTCAGGGACGGCCTGACTACCGTTCATATTGTCCTTAGGGACTGGCTTGTTTTCCTTCCAGAATCGAAATTATTGTCGGCAGCATCCAGTACGTTTCCTCGGGGTCCCATATTTCATTGATGCGTACCGTGGATGAATGGGATCTTTCCTGAACTTCAAGTAAGTTTTAATTCTTTGCTGCATGGTACGATTGGTGAGTATTTTATCTGATGAACTGAAATACGTATCTGGAGCTGGGTGATATTTTGTCAGACGTATGTGTTCCAGTTCTATCTCGATGGTGAATTTCATTGTGTTGGTCTTTCGCAGTGGTTATTGTTTCTCCGCTTCTTCATCATTGAATTTTTACCATGTGTTTCGTGCCATCCGATGCGCAGAGTGTTAATCTAGAGCAAGCGAGCTAGGAAGAAGTAGCAAGCGTTCACTCATCGTATTATATGTTAATGTTCATTTTTGCTGTTGGAATATCGTGAATTGTGCATTTCGACTGGACGTAATGGAGATACATGAATGCCAAAAACTGTTTTCCCGTGTTAATTAGGCAATGTGGTTGTGGAGCAATTGGGAATAAACCCCTCACAATAACCACTTAATGTCGGATGATGTACAGGATAGCGTGCTTCGAGTTTTTGGAGCAGGTTCAGATACTGAAATCACTGTCCGACATAGGTGATGTTGGTACGCGCATGAGGCTGGAGCACGCTTGCATCCAGCTGTTTGCCAACTCCGGACTTGGATTATCAACCACAGCATCATCACACTTCCAACCGCCATTAAACTGGTTCACAACGAACTAAATGTGTTGGAGATTAGCTTATTCTGCCGACAAAAGTGATCCACTGTAATTTTGAGAAACACAATGTTCTGGATATATTTTTCAAGGAAGAGCAAAGCGTTAAGCTCGTCCATTTTGGGATTTGTACCGCTTCATCTCTTGTACTCAGGTACTTGAATAGAATCACATAGTTCAATCATTTGGTATATGAAGGATCATTTTTCAGGTACATAGGATGAAGTCCTTTATTTTCTCGAAATATTTGATGCATTTTGTTGTATACATCTCTTGATGACACCGGATTATTAACCAGCTTTTGATTGTTAACTGAACAATGTCTACCACCACCTATATGCCCTATCTCCGTTGGTTTCAAATACAAAAGTTGATCTCTGAAAGCTTTTCATATTCCGAAAATCCAGGGCCGGTTCGAGTCTGGGAAGAATGTCCTCATCGATGTGAATGATGCATCTGTGTTGTATCTTTCTCCAGGTGGGGCTTGATGGGCGGTATTAGTTTCAATCTACACCCTTAGTTGGTGTATTTGGTTGCACCATGGCGCACAAAAAAGCAGTGTTTATTGATTGGAAGGTCACCACCATTTACTTGGTGGTAGTTTATTGTTCTAAGTCCTGCAGTGTTCCGGACGTGGTTATTTTCTGCGCGTCAGTTCCGTGCGGCAAATTAGTGTATCCTGGAGGAAACCGGTTGACTTTAACGTAACCCAACACGAATAGTGTGTGAACGTCATGCAACAACCGATGACACTGGGAAGTATGAACACCGTCGAGATCGTGATCTGCGTGCTATATCCCTATTGATCTTTTGACGCTTTACCATTATACGACATTTTTTCGCCAAGAAATCTTGTATTATTCGGGCTCGAGGCTTGCACCTGGTCGTTTAGGCTCTGTCTTGTTTTCTGTTGAAGCCCGGAGCATATAAATGAAAAGAAACGCGAACTCCAACTGGAATGCTAGGTGTGGCTGTTTGTATTGGAAGAAATGGTAGGAAAAGTGACATGTGGGTTAGGTTACGGTGCACTCATCGTTGAGTGGTGTTTAATAAAATCTGGTCAAGTAAGTTCGAGGGTAATATCCAGCGGGGATTTGAAGACCCATTAAAGAGGTGAATCCACGATCTCAAGAAGTAGTTTATTCCATTCGTAGACTACAATTGCGAATAAATTGGATTGGATGGACATCCTAGTCTCGACGCCTGAAATGTTTTGTTATCTTTCTAGGTTTCTGAATCTGAAGAGCGTGAAGAGATGGTCACCTGGGCCCAAAAAGAACAGGTATAGAACAAACTTGGTCCTGATACGAGTCTAACCTGCTTTCCTCATACTCGAACGGTGGTTTCTGATCGCAGCTAGCTACAATCAACCGTGCAAAGTCGCAAGGTATCTTCTGAATTCCAATCCTCGTAAATTCTGAGGTAATCAGACTGACCGAAACCGACCTTAATCGCCGTTGGCCAATCATCACGTGCTAGGATGTGCAAACTCATGCATTACGGAACATATTGCTATCACTCGTTAGAAACATCTGAGATCGCCTGGGACAGCCAGCGTAGTTACAGAAGGCTGTAATTGGCCCGAGCAGCGGGGATCAATCGCGCATGGAATCCGAACTCGTTCGATCCGCATTGTTATTTATGAATACAGAGATATCCTCTGAAC